TTCTTCACTTACAATGCACTTCCCCTTATTATACTGCCTTGTGAGATCCATTAGATTTTATTGCTTCTTAAGCTGAATGTGTCGTAGCATCTTTTCCTGTTGTATGCTATTTGCGTAGTATGTTTTAGGTTCTGGTTCCTTCTTGATCTCCCTTTTTTGTTCTCTAGGATTTCGTAGATACACTTTCTTATGAAGTTTTAATTTGGTTTTGGAGGACTTACAGGTTGTTTCTTGTTAGCATCATCAATTGGTGAATGTAATTGCCATTTTCCTTAATAATTTTCTTTACCAGTTAATTGATCTTCCAGCCTTAATTGCTTTTAAATACGTTTCATATGCTTTCAGTTTAATTTTTGTATTTTGGGTGAATAAGATAAGTGTACTCATTTGATGGGATGGAAATTATGGAATTGATTCATTTATAATAAATTCCTCTTGATTTCGGTTCTTAAGCTATAGACTCGAGAGTTTCTTTTGTGAAAAAGGGCTATAGTTGAAATAATGTGTTGTTAGCAGCTGAATTACAATTACTCCATTTGTCCCAGAATAATAGTTGTTTTTTGGTTCAAATTTTATTTCAGATTAATTGTCATAGAGACAAATATATTTTTCTTAGTTATCTTATAGTTATCTCTTAACTTAAATTATTTATGTAATTACAAAAAGTCTATCTTTTATTATTTTTTTCGTAAGGATAATATAGCTAACATAAATTATTTTCAAATCCTTAAATTTCAGCATTAGGGAAAAGTTAGAAAACCAGAATTATTCTGTTACATATTGGGATATGTTGGGGTTAGAACTTAGAAGTGGAAGAGAGTACCTGAGCCTGTTAACCCCGTGGGCCATAAACTTGGTTAGGGTCAATCTTAATGCAACCCAAGCCCATTTTTACCCATGATTTGTAGGAGGTGTTAGTTGGGGTTATATTATACAGGGGCGACGTAATTTTGACATTAGAACAGAAAAATGATTTTGTTTCTTTTGAATAGAACAGAAAAATGAAAATCAAATCAAATTCATCTAATTAAATTTGAACGTCATTGCTTATGTATATAAAGAGAAGACATAATGAGGCCAATTTAACACAACCAAATTCTGACCAAGGCTGAGACATTGTTTTTTCTAGTTTCGATTGTGGCATGATTACATGGGTATATCTAGTTTGTGTTCTAAGGACACAAGTTAAGTTAGTTTTAAATGCATCTTTTATCTATTAATTTACATAAAAAATTAACATTAATTTTAATATTTATATCATGTGAATATTTTTTATTGAACAATTAGTAAAATTAACATTAATTTTATTTTTCTTTTATGTATTAGGGATTAAGAAGTATAATAAATATATTTTTATCCTATATTTTAAGAATACATGTTAGAAAAATGTTTATCAAATTAGCAAAGGCTAACTCTTGCTCAAGAAAAAAGGCTAAGGGGTATTTTTTTAACTAGCAAAAAAGGCCAATGAGGTGTTTGTTTTAACTAGTAAAAAAGGTTAAGGGGTTGTTTATTTTAGTTTTTTTTCAAAAAAAACTATTAGTTATTGATTCTAATTAAATGAATTAAATATTTTAAATTATAAACAATAACAATTATTAATTATTAAATGTTAAATATCAATTATTAATTAACGAACCCACTCTGGCCTAATGACATTAGATTTTAGGTTAGAACTGCTCACTTCCTGTAAGTTTCGTGTTCGAAATCCATGGAGATTTTTTTTTTTATTTTTAATTAACTTGTAAATAATTACCATATGTTCAAAAAAATATCAATTATTAATTATACTTAAACAGTTAATAAAAAAACCAGAAAGAGAGTTGATACCTAATCGGTAGAATGACATACAATCAAACATCAGCAATCTGATTATAGGATTTCCTGTGTGCGTCACTCCCTACGAGACTGCTACCTCCAAATGGCGTCATTAATTAGATAATTTG